TTCTAACCAACTATTCGTGTTCTTTGATAAAGTAAATGCGTGTTGTGCGTGCCCCTATGTACCTATGTATTACCCAATCGAGATCGAGTCTTGCCTGTACCTCCCTGGTGGCGTCCGTTCACTCGTCCTTCCATTTCTTCGCCTTCTGACTATTTAGGTCAAATATGGATGGATTGATCTATAATTTGTGAAATCTAATGCCTTCCGGATACCCTATCCCAGTATATTTTTTTCCTGTCTTCCTTCCAGTTTTAATATCACAATTAAGATGAATAAAATACTCGATTTCTCGTATACCATTGTATTAAGGATTCAAGTTAATAGCAAATACCTTTAAATAGACATCATCCAAACTGCCAGGTCTGCCGCAAAGGATCTGCCGTATTTCTTCTCTAATCTATTTATTCGAATTCCAGATTGGTTCTGTCAACCCTCGTGTAAAATATTGCTGTCTTATCAGGTGGATCTTCTTCCTTTATCCAAATCTGACACATACCGTCTTCCCATTTTTCTCCCCCTTAAGACATTCTCTCTCTCTCTCTCTCTCTCTCTCTCTCTCTCTCTCTCTCTCTCTCTTCTCTCTCTCTCTCTCTCTCTCTCTCTCTCTCTCTCTCTCTTCTCTCTCTCTCTCTCTCTCTCTCTCTCTCTCTCTCTCTCTCTCTCTCTCTCTCTCTCTCTCTCTCTCTCTCTCTCTCTCTCTCTCTCTCTCTCTCTCTCTCTCTCTCTCTCTCTGTGTGTGTGTGTGTGTGTGTGTGTGTGTGTGTGTGTGTGTGTGTGTGTGTGTGTGTGTGTGTGTGCATTAATTAAACAGGGGGAGGAGGGAAGAGAGAAAGAGAGAGAGAGAGAGAGAGAGAGAGAGAGAGAGAGAGAGAGAGAGAGAGAGAGAGAGAGAGAGAGAGAGAGAGAGAGAGAGAGAGAGAGAGAGAGAGAGAGAGAGAGAGAGAAAGAAAGAGAGTGAGAGAGAGAAGGGGGTTACTGTTTAAGGACTGGCAGTAACCTCCTAAGATAGTGATGCTAATAATAAAACATTCTCTCTCTCTCTCTCTCTCTCTCTCTCTCTCTCTCTCTCTCTGTGTGCGCGCGCGCGCGCGTGTATATATGTGTGTGTGTGTGTGTGTGTGTGTGTGTGTACGTGTGTGTGTGTGCGTGTGCATTTATCAAAAAAGGGGGAGGAGGGAAGAGAGAGAGAGAGAGAGAGAGAGAGAGAGAGAGAGAGAGAGAGAGAGAGAGAGAGAGAGAGTGAGAGAGAGAAGGGGGTTAGTGTTTAAGGACTGGCAGTAACCTCCTATGATAGTAATGATGATAATAAGCAATAAACTAATGATAATTACTATTATTATGGTAATAGTAATAAAGATGATTTTTATAATAATAATGATATAAATGATCATGATGATTGATTTATGTTAATGATAATGATAATTACTAATGTGAATAATAGTAAAAATAGTAATGATAATATAATAATAAGAAGAACAATAATAATGATATCCATAACAATGATGATAATAATTATTATTATTATGGTAAGCCACCAAAGACGTCGGTGCAGGTCAGAAGTTACAATCTCTGAAGGCAATGTATTCCAAAGCCTACAAATGATGATGATGATGATATAATAATATAAGTGATAATAATAGTAATATCAGTGATAATAACAATAGTAATACCAGTGATAGTAACAATAGTAATATCAGTGATAATAATAATAATAATAGTAATAGTAATAATAATAGTAATAATAAAAATAATGATGATGATAATAATAATAGTGATAATGATAATAAATATAATAATGATAATATTAACAATAATGATAATAATTTATGAATAATGATGTTCATTACTATCAGGATGCTAGTTATTAGAACGATAAGGAAGGTAGTGCCATTAATTAATTATCAAGACTACCACCAATTTATAGGAACGCTTCCACGCCTCGCCCCAAAGACACCCAGAACGAGGGTGTGTCGCCGTCCCCGCCCGCCCCTGCGGCCGAGCGACGACGACCACCTCTACTCCCGAGTCCGCGTTATCTGCGGCGCCAAACCATGTTGCCTCCGAACACGTGACTACAGAAAAATCACGGAGGAAAGGGTACGTTTCAATTCATCATTTGGCATTTGATGGGTTTTGTTTTGACAAGACTTTGATGTTTGGTTGAGAGGTTGGATTTTTTTTTTAGCTTTTGGTGATAAATAGGACGAAATATTTTATACACGCACACTGACCTTATAACATATTTATTGATTCAGGCATTGTTATATGATGTAAAAAAGTTTAACATCACTTGAAGGGAGCACAAAATACGTATAATGAACAAATATATTATCGTATAGCAATTATTATGGGCTTTTCAATATCTTTTTTTCAATCTTGGAGCCAAAAAGCTTAAAATGCTTTGTTCTTTTGTGGTTTACTTAAGCTTTGAGAGAAGACGTTGATAGCTTTGTCCGAAGGTTTTTAGGAGGCTTCATCTATCTTAATGGAAAACCAAGTT